TCTCTCTTTCCTTATGGTCTCTTAGAGCCCTTTTCTCCCTCCCATCTTTAATCTGTTATCTCCAGTTTTTGTTGCTTAACATCTAACTACAAAAATCCAGGGCAGAACCATGGACTGATAATAGATTACTGTGTATAAATTCAAGTCAATTCTGCTTCAGTTTTGCAAAGAGATAAAGCACATGGACTTTATGTCCCCAGTGGTATACCGACTACAGGTTGTCATTTCAGGATTCCCGAAAGCTGAGATTTCTCCAAGTCTGACCCTCAAGTGAGAGATTCATTTCCTTTGATCAACCAAGCAACCAAAAAAACCCCAATCAACCTAGGATCTAAATATTCTTGTAGCATCAGTGTTGCTGAAACATACATTAAAGGTGTGAATTAACAATGTATAGTGGTACCTGTAAAATGGATAATTGTTTTACAAAGCAGAGGCTGCTTTTCATATAATTAGAAAAGCTTGAGGAAAAACCCTAGCAAAGCAGCCTAGTAATTAAAACTTGCATTGATCATCCAAACAGGAAACAGATATTTTTAAAAGTAGGACCATTTTATTAGACAACCAAATAAATTCAAAAGCTCTTCTTTCCAAGCGATCCAAGGGAGAATAAACAAAACCTGTTCTCAGTTCTACAACTTCGTTAATTTCTAAGTATTTTTCCTAATTCTCTCACTAATGTAATCAGGTAATTACTATGTTTAGGTCAAACCATTACTTAACAACCTAACATTGTTAATTTCCTAAGGAATCAACTGGCATTCTGGTCTGAAAGAAGAATGCTTTCATTCAATAGTATTTTTTGTAATACAAGTTCTTATAGAACACTACTGTGTATAATTGATAAAGAATTAAGGTGTCAAGAAGTATCAGTGATCATGCAGGAGCAAAAGGGCAATCAACTGCAGTTAGAAGGGTTACATGTATAAAACTGTACCTAGTGATAAGCACAGCAGTATCATGGTGGGAAGGGTGAGCATCATCAAGAACATTCTGTGTTTGTTGCCATAAACAAAAGTTGCGTAACGTGGTAGCTGCATTAAAACTGATAACTGGTCCTTCCTGCACACAAAAAATATGCAATTCAACACTACGACAAAACATTCATGGCATCTTTTCCTTGAAAGCATCTCAGCATCTATGCAATTTATCAAATAGCATTTTTATAGGCAAATGAAGTGGCATTATCTCTTCCTCATAGCTGAAACATTTTAGCAATACTTAAAACACTATGATCAAAATGGAATCTAATTAGGCCTTCTCAATATAACTTTCCAATATTTTGGATAAAAAAACTACCTTCTAAAAATTACCGAATTTTAAATCCTTCAACAGTAGAATTATAAAAGTAAATACATGGGTATTTTTAACCTTAAATTTTTAAATTGTTTATTAATGCTTGTTACTTCCTGTGCTATTATTCCATTTTATTTCCATCACAACAGGGAAAGTTAATCTCACTGTTTTCCAAATCAAGTTTTTTAAACATAAATTTTTATGTTTATGTATATATGTAAAATATCTCATTTCTAATAAGAGTTTTGTGATCTATATATATTCATGCTAGGAGGGGCTAGTACAACTAAGATTATTTAGAATTGTTTCTTACCTGTTCATTATGAATTATAATTAATTTTACAATTACTATGTTTATAAGATTTCCGATACTTGAGTCCTTGTAGATTGCTGCAACCTGCCAGGAAGAAACTGTAGGATTAGATACCAAAAATGAATATTTCTTCTCAAAAGTAAATTAAAACCAGTCCAAGAGAATCAATTCTCCAACTTGGCTGCACATTGGAATCTTCTAGGGAGCTTTTCACAAATCCTGACACTCAGGCCACACCCCTTACCAATTAAGTCAGAATCTCTAGGGTTGAGGCCCAGCCATCAATATTCTATAATTCCTTTTTTTTTTNTATTCCCTATGCCTTCCTTAGTATTTTCATACTGTCAAGTGACTCAAATTCCAACATATTCATTTTCAGGGCCATGTAGATATTTGGAACACAATATTGTCCCCATTGCTACCCAATTCTGTGTCATGCTTAAAGATGGATATATTCTAATCTGAAATTTTTAGTCACATAACAGATCTGTGAAAATATGCTTTGCATGTGAATAGAGACCAAGCTCAAATATATCCATAAATAGGCAAGACCAACAAAAACTGAAGTGAATGTATATGATGGTACCAAACAGTTGGTTGATGGTTTTCGCCTAGATTCACTCAAGCTGATGATATTGGGTTCTCTAAAAGTGGTCAGAGATGAGATCAAGTAGCATGGGCCAAATTTGATACAGGTCCCTGTGTTTGGAGGTGCAAGATAAGGGGTCGCCTAATCTAGGTACCCTGAAGAATAAAAACCATTTTTCAACATACTTTGCAAAACATGCTCAGAGACTATGGCAATAATACCTGCTAAAGCAGATATAGCGGGAAACCTAGTAGTTATTACCAACATTCATTTCATTAATAACTATACTTAGTATGTCATTTTCCCACATATTTTAGATGAGAAAATAAAATACAAATACTTCTGTTAATACAAGCTGTGTAGCCTTGGGAAAATCATTTATTTTCATCTATAATATTAGAATAGTTGTTCTTTACAGATTTGTTGTGAAGATTAAATGAGTTCAATCATGTAAAACCTTACTATAGTACATAATATATATAGAAAGCACTCAGACATATCAGCTATCATTATCATCACTACATTTGACTGTACAAAGGATAATAAGAATGCTTTCAGTTTACGAGTATGTTTCTAAAGGTCACTGTGATTTATGTGCATAGGGGTGGCTGAAAACTACAAAATGTAAATGGGGACTAAGATACCACCCACTTTTACACGAATAGTCCAGAATATCTAGCACCAAATCATTTAAAAATAGTAAGATATGGCAATCATATTCCTGTTTAACTTTTAGTACAAAGATGTGACAACAGAGTATAGATAATGTATGAAATATAATATATTCAATGATTGACTCATAAGATATACCTAACAAGGCCAGAGAATAGCTTGCAGGGAGAAGAGAACAGGTCTGTTGTAATAATTAGAGTAGATGTGTCTATTTCCACGTT